TGTCCCTTTACTCTTCCCAGGGCAGATGTCCCTGGTTCCGCTGCCTGTGTGTTTCCTTCTTACCCTTTAGCTTAACCAAGAGGTCTCCACTCATCTTTGCTGGTCTCTTGCCTTCCTTTCTTGATTTCTTACACCTGGTAATCTAGTGCTTTTGTACTTTATGGAACATGTCCTTAAAGATCTGCCAACTCTGTTCTGCTCCCTTTAGAGCAGCTTCCCAGCAGGTCCTGTTAACTAACTTCTGGAAGAGCTGGAAGTTTGCTTTCCAGAAATTTTACGGTCCTGATTCACTCTTCATCTGACCCATATCCCTCAGGACTGAAAACTTCATGATGATTGCATCCCAGGCTGCCTGCAGTCTTGACATCACCAGTTAACTCACTTGAACTAAAGCATTGTAATAACCATTGAGTTTGTTGATCAATCTCCTACTAACAGGTCTATGTCGATTTAAGTACTACATGATATTTGAAATACTATCAGAATCTGGCCTAAGAAAATAGTCTTCAAGAATGACTCAAGTACTTCAAGGGTAAAAATGTTGCACCAGAGGTTTACTCATTTTGTACAATGGCAATAAATTGCTTTATGTTGTGTTTTGAACTCCTGCACTGAGTTAACCTTTGCTATTGGATTTAACTTTCATATTCCTTACATATTTCCTGTTTGTTTGGGGTTTTTTTTGCCTCTCCTTAACTTATCCTCTGAAAGATCTTTATGTGGTATTTTGCCTCTTTCTCTCCGCTAGTGCCACTGTTCTGGATGGCCGATCTACCTGTTTCTTATGAATCTACCAAAGAATCAATGAATTGTTTATGTTGGAAGATCTTTGATCTTCCAATACAACTCTCCTACTCAAGCAGGGACAGCTAGGCCAGGTTGTCCAGAATCACATCCAGTTGGGTTTTGAGTATCTCTGTGCATGAAAACCACAACCTCTCTGGGCAACCTCTTTCAGTGTGTGTCTGCCTGGCAGTAAGAGAGTTTCTATTTCCTGTTTTTTAATTTATTCCTATTGCCCCCTGTTTAGTCCATGGGCATGACTGAGAAGAGCCTGTTTCACTCTTCTTCATTGCATCCCAATGGGTATTTATAAACATGGGTAAGATCCCTCTGAAGCTTCTTCTCTCTAGGTTGAACAGTCCTAACGCTTTGAACTTCTCTGTATATGGCAGATGCTCCAACCCCCTAATGGTATTCTTGATCCAGTGTTTTCTTCTTGTCTTCTATTTATGGTTTCTAAGCCCAAAATGACTCCCCTACTTCCATTTGCAAAGCTCATGTCTTTAAAATCCCACTGCCTTTTGTTATCTTATTAGCAGTGATTCATGCTAGTGATTCATGTTTGTTTAGCATTTACTGTTCCTGCTCTATTTTTCCTGTTTGTTTTTGCAGTGTGAGCTCCATATTCCAAGGCCATTCAAGTACTTGGAAGTGCTGAGCACATAACAGGTGCTTCACTATAAAAACAACAGTGAGAGTCAATTGCTACTGAGAGTAATATGAAATGACAAACTGTCCTGCATTGATGCTGACTTAGTGAAAAATGTATTTTAGCCCTAAGCGGAGGAGGTGGTGGTGGTGGTGCAATGACTGGGAAGGGCATTTCAAGAGAGTTTGTGAAGTAGAGATAATTATTTTTTTATTTTTTTATTTATTTTACAGCTCCTTACACAAGGTTTTCTTTTAGTAGGCAACTGAAAGTCAAGAGAGCAGCAGGCATAATTTAGAGCTGCATGTGCAGTGGCATTTACAAGGATTGGAGATAAATGGGGATCATCATAATGCACTGTGAATTGCAATACAGCTTTCTTGTTCTCAGTAGCCAGTGGTCCCTGATTGATTGATTCTGCAGGAAGGCTGAAACGCTATTTTTTGAGTTTCTGGAACTGAGACGAAAATGTGAAAATAAAGATAAATAAGTTTACAAATGCTGGAGCCAAATAAACAGACTGCTTGACTATTTAAAAAAGAAAACTCTAATTTCTTTATAAATGTACACTCCTGAATTCCGTATGTGAGCAATTGTTTCAGGTTTCAAGCTGAGCTCTTTCCAAAGATAATGCAGGTGAAAAGGTGAGTTAATGGTTTAAACAATTAGAATTTTGATGCAGTCTTTCATCTGTCAAAGCCCACTGAAATGAAAACTCACAGTTTTAATTTGTGCCTCCAGCATCTAATTCAGTCTGAAATGGTGTCAGCGATTTGCCCTGCCCACAGTATTGTCATTCTTATGTTAAGCTTTCTGTGCACACATGCTGGGACACTTTTATCAAACATATTAGTGTGCATTTGAGAGATCATTAGCCTGAAGTAGCTGGAACATTCCGGGTTTCTTAGCTGAGAAAGTCACCTCTCTGCTGGAAAGTATGTTGAGCCACTGTTATTTAAACAATAAAGCTACAGCAGGATAGGGATAGCTTTGTAAAATTTAGTAGGAATAGTGGTATCATGATTTAAGTGGCACCCATGAGAGAGCAAGATAATGAATGTTTTGATTTTTGGCTAAAAAGACAGAATGAGTAAAAATTTCTTTCTTGATCTGCCAGACATTGATTTTCTTTCATTTAGTAAAAGATAAGGTAAAACCATTTAATAGAATCAGAGTTCATAAGACTTGATCAGATTATTGGTCTGCTAAATAGATGAAAATAATCCTGATCATATAAGGAATAAGAAGACAGATCTGATACTTATTGCTGGAATTCTTATAGATTATTTGATATTTTTTTATTATATTCATCTAGGAAAAGGTAAAGGGGGTTGAGATAACCATAGTGGTTATTATGATTAAAGCTGAACTAGCTAAGAAATAGGTGGACTGAGGTTTCTGAATATTTGTGTTTGGGGAAAGAGAAGAAAGAGCTTTATGTTTCAGCATTTATGTTGGTACAAAAGCATTAGTGTATAAATGTGCTGTGATGACAGGTATCCCTTTGTTCTCTAAGGGCCTTGAGAACTGACAAATAAACAGAGCTAAAATCCAAACATTGTTTACAGTACTTTGTAATACTTTGATGTATTGTTATCTATTTGTAAATATCAAGTTTTGGTTTTTTTGGGTATTGAAAACATAGTTATGTTAGAACATGGGACACTGAAATAAGTGAAAATGAAGTAAGTTCATATTCCTCAACGTTGCTGTGTTGGATCACATCAGTCATCCTTCCAGTCTCATAGTTGTGTTACCAGCTAGATTCTCCAGAGGTAAGTAAACCTGCAGGTCTGGAATAACTACTAGATAACTGCTAGAAAAAACCTTACTTGAGCCCTCTTACTTACTTTGTGTGATATTGTGAAATATGAAGGGTATGTCCTTTTCAAGGCACTAGTTTTGGTTTCTCAGTTAATGCTCGCTTACTGTTTTGTTCAACTTAAATGTTTTTGCCTTGGCAGAACAGATGTCAGGGCTTTATGGAAAGTGGTGTGCTTGTCTTTCTCTCTGAATGATGCTGCTGACAAAATTCTGTCTCTATTACAAATAATTAGAATCACTTTCCTTTTTCTCTTGTTAAAAGATCATTACCTCTGCTTGAGCCCTTATGATAGGCAGGGAGGAAAGGATCATATTGGTTTTCTGTCCCTGTACCCCAGGTTTTTGTTAATGCAGAATTCTGCTGAGGTTCTCATTGATCCTCAGTGTGGATTTATAGAAAAGGTTGTCTCGTTTGAGGCTTGCTGTTTTGGACAGTTGTATCTGGTCCGCTTTTAAGGAGGTAATCAGGTCTGATCACTGTGCTGTTTGAAATTTGACCTCCTGAATACTGAGCAGACTAAGCCAATGCTGAGAATTATCAGCCGAAGATTAAGTAACCCTCTTTGACAGAGAAAGGATGCGAAATTGTCATTAATGACTGAATTGTGCCAACACCGGCTTTGAGGATAATGGCATAGCAGCCTCAGCTCTGGTCTCAGAAATGCAAATGCTGGCTTTAGACTTAAGTCTGCATACTCTACACTGTTTACAGACATGCACTACAGCTGAAGGGAGAAGCGCGTGCGTGGGCGTGCACTCATACACACACACACACACACACACACACATACCCAACAGATATTTATTGAAACTGGCATGCCGAAGCACTAAATGCTTCTTTAACTTAGCTTTATCTGCTTCAGTGAACACTCTTCAAAATCCGAGGATATTCAGACTGCAGAACCCTTTATTTTGAGCTATTTAAGCACAAACATAATCCCTTCCGAGAAACTTTCAAAATACCAATGGAGCTATGCAGCCTAATCAACTGTAAGTTTTTGTCATCTAGAAAACTGTTGATTGAGTAGCATCTAACAGCAGGACAATCATCATTGGAGCAACACTAGTCAGACAGTAAAGACAAATCGTACAACTGAGACTCAGGAAAATTGGCAGTAAATATGCTTGAAAGTAAACAGGAGATTTATCTTTCTAAATCATTAGTTTTCCCAGGTCTCTTCTCACTCAGTTTACTCAAACCTTGTACGTATTTTTTTCTCCTCTTTCAATAACTTTGCGTCTATATGCAGAGGGATAAATATAAGATGAAAGTGTATTTGAAATTTTGATTTCCCAAATACAATCTTAGTTCCCAAAGCTCAGCTGCATGAATTGCTATTAGGACATTTCAATAGCTCACATAAATCAGAAAATGTGTACAAAATTTATAACTTTGCAGTTGAGATCAGAATCCTAATTCTATCTTATTAAAATACATTTCATTAACCTAATTAATTCTTAGTGCAACACAGGCTGTAATAGTCTGTTTGAATGTATGGTCCTTTTCTCCTCTTGTGGGAGACAACTGCAGAGTTAGATCAAATATAGCTCTAGTTAAGTGACAAAGACAAAATGTACTTGCATTGACCTTTAATATAGTAATAAAATACATTCAGCCACTGTAAAGAGTTTTGCTTGACTACACCAAGGCATTATTCAAAGCCCACTGAAATAAAGAACACTGACTTTAAACAAGCTTTATACCCATCTGTAATGCAAGATTGTGCATTTTCAAGTGACCTACCTGGGAGTTTCTCCATTACTGTAATACTGAAGGAGATGTAAAAGTGTGCTTAGGCAGATGAAGTGACTGTGCTGAGAGGAAGGCAACTGTCTTTGAGACACACAGGCAGGGAAGTTAGCACCATCTTCTCCACACACTGAGCTGTAAGGAAAGCATTGAGCTGGAAGGGAGAGCTAAGACTGTTTTCCACTTTGAGTGCTTGCTAAGAATTGGAAAGCTATCTGAGCACAGAAGTATAGTCTGTCCTAAAACAGAAATTGCAGGTTTTGTTTTGTAACAATAACTGGGATATTTAATCAGACATTAATGAGTTAATTGCTGTTTAGCACTGACTGTATATTAGAATAACTCTCTATGCACAGCAGACAAAAATGCTTCTGAAAGGGTGCAGTGTTAAAGAGCTAGTTTTGTGCTATGAATTTTAAGCAGATCTCCTCATTGAGTTTCCGTAAAAAGTTCCACTTTAAGTCAGTTCAGGATATAGTCTCAGGTTAACAGGTCAAAAAGGTAACTGGTTTTGACATTTCTTCCCTAATATTCACTAAACAATACTATTTACAAGCTTGCATTCTGATCTTAGTTTATCAAATGTTTTTTGCTATTTCAATGGCCTGAAGAGTGTAAGCACATAGAGTCAGCGTAGAACTATACAGGCAGAGGTCCCAGCACTGAGATAGTGACAGGAAAGTATTTGGACCTCTTTTCTGAAGTCACTTATTTATCTACAATACGTCTAAAGGCTATTTACTGCAGTGTAGTTAAAATTGGTTTGCATCCTCATTTTATTATACAAGTTAGCAGTTATTTGGGATGTAAAGTACAAGGGGAAATCGTAGCCATATTTCTTGAATGTTGACATATATATTTAATATGTGTGGGAAATGTAAAGATGTATTTTGGGTTCATGTTCAATCTAAGCAGTTGCCCATGCAGGAGTACCAGCAGGATCCACTACACTGAAATGAAATAGGGCTATTATTTTAGAAATAACTATTCAACCTTGTACTATGTTGATGCTGCTGTATGTATACATAAAAGGGATTTTTTGTTTCAGAAAGGTGTTTTCATGTTATACATTTAGAAATTAAAGGATTGCCATAATTAATTCTGTGAAGGGATTTTTTCCTTTGAAGTTTGAACCAGGAGACTGAGTTATGAACAAAGATCTTTTCCCCAGTATATCTAGTGTTCTATTTACTTTAAGTTGTAAAATCTGTGGGTCCCAACAAATGTCAGTTTGAAACCTCGAACTTTGGATAATACAGATGGATATGTTTGTTTTGTTTTTTTTTTGTCACAGAAGAGATATTTATTGTATCCAAAATAAATGAAATTTTAATATCCACAATAAACCATGCTGTGAAAAGAAAATTGAGTTACAGCACTTGGGATTTGAACTGCACCCTCGAAAGATAGTAGAAATTTTCCAGAGTTAGCAGTGCAGAATCAAATTTTAAAGCAGTTTCATATTAGGAGTGAAATCTCTCAAAGTTTATGGTTTATGTAAAACATTAATCTGTGTTGTTACTAACTGACTTTTGAATACCTTTGGGAAGGAAATAGACTTAATTTTGTTTTATGTAAATATGACCACCCTGTTAGCTCTAGTAAACAACAAATTATTGGTTAAACTGTAGTTACCACTATATAATTTTTTTCAACTTATTTCCACTTAAATCAGGCTTTATTATTACATGGATTCTGATGTGTTACTCTTCCTAATATTTGGAATTCTTTCAGTTTGTCCTGAGAATACAATATATACCCCATGAACACATCTCTAGCCTGGCCCATGCGGCTTGTTTGAAGGAGAATTAACCAAGTTTGCTTCTGGGTGGCAGGAATGCTCATGGGAGGTATGGACAGGCTGGCTACAGTTGTTAATTTTTGTTTGGATCTGGACCATATTGTTGAGTGATATCTGAGGATATCTTTATTCACTTACCAGGTGGCAGGTCTAAAACTCCTAAAAGCCATCAGCCAGGGAGGAATTGCAGTTCTTGGTGTGAGATTTTTGAAAGGTTAGGATTTACAGCTGTAAAGAAGAATTGAAACAATGAGAGCTGATGCGTAACTACTTAAATCAATGAAGACATTACCAAACCTGTCTTTACCACTTTAAGATCATTGGCTCAGCAAATATTTCTTAAGGATCCACTGGTGTCTCAGAGAAAGTCTTCAACATCTTTTCACTGGAGATCTGTTGTGCTCATACATTATTTAGTGTTCTATTTTCCTACCATTATTTATCGTTGAAGGTATCTGCATGACAGAAGTATTGTGTTTCTTTAGAGTTCAGCTGTTCCTGCTGCACAATTTCCTCATCCAAAGTCATGTTTTGCTTTGTGTCATACACAGCTCCTATGATAATTATAACCCACGTTATTTGTGGGGTCATGGTACAGAAAATTATCCCCTTTTAATTGCTTATTTTCTTCAAAAGATGAATGAAATATGTTTCATAACTGAATACTTTAAAATTAATCTGTAGTTAAATAACACATTTGAATAACAAATTATTGTTAAAAAAAGAAGAAGAAATGTGGTTGGTAGCTTTCTTGCTTTATTTTTCTTTTTAATTTCTAGCTATCCCATTAAATAAGCTGAAACCAGGAGAACTAAAACAATGTAGCTGTATTGTGTAAATACTTTTTTTTTGTTAAATGATAATAGTGGTGCAGAAACATCACAACGTGTACTTCATTCAAAGTAATATCCATCTGTAGGAGAAATCATCTGATTTTCATGTTTTCTAGGTTTAATAAGGGTTTAAAATGATTGCAGATTGAGGAATTTAATTCCTTAAATGGCAAGTAAGTAGGTCATCATCATCTTCAGGGAAAGACTTATTTGTCCTCATTATTCCTGAGTCCAACATTATGCAAATTCACTTTATAATACACTTGAAAGTAGTTATTGTAGGGAAGTGGGTGTATCTATATGCAGTACTTTCAACATTTTTATTCTGACAACATCAACAGCAAAATAGATTTGCAAACACTATCCATATACATGAATGTTTTTAATCACTAATACAGGAAGATTGAATTAATTAGAAATTAATCTTTTCTTCCCCCTTTTTACTGCTTCTGTGGTAGAAGGATTGTCGGCTGTGCTTGTGCTTTGTGAATTGTATGGTGCACTTAATGGCTATTTAAGCTTCTACTTTTGGCCGATTATATAAAAATGTTAAAAGGCATTGGTGGTATTCTATTAAAAAAAAAAAAGTAGTGACATGACATGGTGGTGAAAGAGCAATGAACAGGCAGCATAGTAGTGTAGGCAGATCACATACTTGCATCTTTGCCAACAGATGACAGGGGTTGTTCCTGCCCTGCTAGCAGGATCCTAGTGGAGGCTTGTTGCACCTCTGCTATCTGCCTACCACACCTTCCTCTTGATAGAAAAATGAGCTGTGGTTTTAATTGTCTAATTTTTATTTTTAAAATGAAGTTTTTCAGCATAGAATTAAAAGAAGAAAGAAGATGTTATATTGTAATAATGTATTTCCCTCCGCTGCTCCGAGTTGTCACAGTTTACTGAGTAGGTCAGTGTAGTTCAAACAGTTGCGTGTGTGGCAAGTGTGTTGTGTGTTTGTACAGAAACACACTTGATTGATCAGTTAGACCAGAGTGACATTTTAAGTGCATTACAGTTTGGTTTTTGATGTTGGGTTTGTTCCTCCCCCCCTTCCCCCAGAGAAATACTGAAATACTCAGTGCAGTTGTGCTTTTTATTGTAGTTTTATCAGACATTGAACTTAGGGAAAAGCTCTTGAGTATGTTTTATTATGCTGTCATGGAAAGCTAGCACATTTTTTCTTATTGCTAACATTTGTTGGGTGATGACAGGTTATCAAACGGTACAGAGCTATTTAACACCTTGGAAGAAGACAATAAAGGCACTTGTGACGTTTTCTTAACAAGAAACACAGTGTGTTTTGGGAAATCTGTCAGTGAGAAAACAGACCTGTAAAGATGTCTGGCCTATTTTGACCTTTCTGCCCCTTGTTTGTATTCTACTGTTTCAGTTTTGCAAATTACTCCACTTTTGGTACTTGAAAGTAGACATCACATAATGAGGAAAGGATATGAATATGTTTCAGAAATGTTTCATTGTACAATGGAAAAAATTGCACTCGGAAAATGATTACGCATTTTGTTCATGGCTCCAGAATATTATTATTATTATTATTATTAAAGGGAGTAAAAATATTTTCTTATTTAAATAAATTGTATATGTAATTATTTTGGGGTGGTCTGTCAAAGTGGTAGATGTTGCATCAAATCCAAGTACTACTGAAGCATGGTACTATATGCCTACAGTAATCTGAGCTCCTCTGTAATGATGTGTGACACTCACTTTGCATGCTCTGTGCTATATTTTATCCAACATTTGGATAGCATGATATTCTGACCTTGTCTGATTGGTGATCTCATTTTCCATGAATGTTGCAAGAACAGTAAACAAAGCCTAGAAGAGTTGTCAAGCTGACAAGTTGTATTGTTCTGTATCTCTTCAAGACAAAGCTACAGAAATTTATCCCTCTTGACACCTTTGTCTCTTGTATTAAGAAAGCTTTAACTAACTTCTCTTTAGTTCTATGGTCTACCATCTAAAAATGCCACATCTTATAAAGAGAACAGGTAGAAAGGCTTTTAAGGAGAGGCCTCAGGGAGATGGAATAAGTTAAGAAAAAACAGCAGCAGCTAAATTGTCTAAGGGATTCCAAGACTGACAAGAGTGCATCAGAAGAAGAGTGTATGAAACATTTAAATGACACTTCTGTGTTAAAACTTATAAATAACTGTGAATTAAACTAGTGTATAAATACATTGTACATATATGTCAGATAGGAAAATACTTTTTTGCATGAATCCCACAGACATTTACAGATGTCAGTGATTGCAGGAATGCTGAAATGGTTTTGTTTTATTGTGTTTTCCTTTCACCTTCCTCTCTCACTCCTTCAAGAAACCTATAAACCAGAAACATTTCACTCTGTTCAAACTGTATGGGGGTTTTGCATCTGGAAAATTTGAACGTAAATCTGTATGTAACTTTCAGTTGAATATTGATCTTATTTTAATTGCCTTAGTTAAGTTCCATGTGTGAAAGATAAAGTCTGGGGTCTAGAATTGCATCTTTATAATGCGGTTGTACTTTAATTGTTAAAAC